AAATGGCCTGGACAGGAAAGGGGTGTAAACACCCCGGTCAGCAAGTGGTTAAACCTTTTTATCTGAGTATAGATCTGTGTGTCCCAGGCATGTTTAAATGGGTACCTCCCTTTTTCCTCCCCTCGGGCGCTTTTTCTTCTTCCTCTTTCTCCACCCCTCTCCCATACACATCTCCTCGCCTGGCTCTTAGCAACCAGGACACTGTGGCCAGCGTTCCGCACAGCTCTTGGCAACCAGTGACGCCACTCATTGGTAAGAGTCAAGGGAGAAGTGTATGGGCTTGTTCACACCAGTAGCTGCACTCGTGTGAATGTGTGCGTGTGCCTGGGCAGAGGTGATGCGCTGCGCTTAAATGAATGGCAACGCAATGTACCTGCCACACTGTAATGCATGGTAGTTACATTGCAGGAAGATTGCTACCCTCCCTCTTTATAAACGCTAAAAGATCGAATATACCCAAACCACATTACCAGAAGTCCGTCCCACCTTAAAACACAGAAAGGTGGGATTAACTGTCTGAGTCCAAAGGCAGATGTGTAGGTTCGGGGTTGGCATGTGGCCACGTGCAGTCACGTCCCATAGGGATGTACTGGCAGCTGCATGCAATTACACGCTGCACCTGTCCCTCCCGGGAGCAGGTCTACACCATATGGATGTGCACGCCTGTGTGAATGAGGCTTTAGGAAGTATATGATGTATTCACTTGATAAGAAGAATATCTAAATGTAGTTGAAGGATTTCAATTAGCGTGTATATACATAACAAGGCCTACCAGTGCTGGGAGAAGGTTCTCTGGTGTCTTAAGGTGCCCATACACCTTACGATTATCGTACGACAATCGTATGCGATCGACTTTTCGTACGACAATCGTAACATGTGAATAGAGTGCCCGACCGATAGTACTGTACAATCGCGCGACTTTTGACGGTCAAGCATGTTTGAAAACTTTGGTCGATCGTACGATGTTCGCATGGTTGGTGGCGTTTCCGTCCGTCAAAAGTCGTACGATTAACACTGCGCATGTGCAAACGAAAAGAATTGCGGTCAATTACCGCAAGTCGTCCAGGTGTTTTTTTTAACTACCGCTAATTGGACCTTGCGATAATCGGGGCAGAATGGGGCTGTCGTACGAAAATCGTACGACGGTCCGATCATCGGACGAAAAGTTTCGTCCGATAATCGTAAGGTGTATGGGCACCTTTAGAAGAACATGGATGACTGATAACCATTTCCTTTCCCATAAGCTGTATCCTCCTTTTGGTTTAAACTCTAAGGCCTGGTTCACACCTGGGCATTTTACAGAGTGTTCCTACGCGCTATAAAACGCTCAACATGTGAAAACCAATGATTGCCTATGGACATGGTTCCCACCCGGGAGTTTTACAGCGCGTAGGAACGCGCTGCAAAATGCCCTACGCCCAAAGAGGTACAGGAGCTTCTTTGTGGGTGTATTTCCTCCACGTATCCATTAAGATACAGCCGGATAGCCCTCGGAAATGCGCGTTTGTCGTGCGTTTTTTACCGCAAATCGTGGTGCATACGCACATATTCGGTACGCCCAGGTGTAAACCCAGCCTTACAGGAATGAAAATTAAATGGAATGTAGCTTTCTTGCATCTCAATGCTTCTGATCTCCTGCAGCCTCTTTGCCGCTCCTTCTGGTCTACTTGCATGCACTCCGGTGATGGGTGCATGGCATTTCTGATGAATATTATTGTACAGGGTCTAATAGTTTGCTCAGCACTTTATAAAATGACAGTACAGTTACAATACAATTCATTACAAGATGTTCCCATTTTGATAGCAGGGGGCAAGTGATCCAAAAGGTAATAGCTGATGGAAGGACAAAAGGACAGTTATTTTATGGAGGTGGGATAGTCTTCTCTGAAGAGATTCCAATGATTGCCTAAAGGCAGGTAGAGTAGGAAAAAGCCAGAGAGTATGGGGTAGGGAGTTCCATTGTCACATGCTGGTATATATTGCTCTGCCAATTGAGTTATGAATACACTGTGATTTCTAGCATTCATTATACATGGACACATGTGGTAAATTGTTTTGAGTGATTGTGGCAGTGGCGGAACTGCAGGCGGTGCGGACGCACCAGGGCCTCTAGGGGGCCCAGCACAGTCCCAGCGCCGGATCGGTACCCAGCGGCCAGCGGGCCCCCCATCTCTGTGCCGGGAGTCGGATGACACTCCCGGCGCAGAGACTGGGGGCCCGCTGGCTGTTGGATACCTGCTCTCTCTATACATTGCCCCCCTCCCCCTCTCTATATACATTGCTTCCCTTCCCCCTCTCTATATACATTGCTTCCCTTCCCCCTCTCTATATACATTGCTTCCCTTCCCCCTCTCTATATACATTGCTTCCCTTCCCCCTCTCTATATACATTGCTTCCCTTCCCCCTCTCTATATACATTGCTTCCCTTCCCCCTCTCTATATACATTGCTTCCCTTCCCCCTCTCTATATACATTGCTTCCCTTCCCCCTCTCTATATACATTGCTTCCCTTCCCCCTCTCTATATACATTGCTTCCCTTCCCCCTCTCTATATACATTGCTTCCCTTCCCCCTCTCTATATACATTGCTTCCCTTCCCCCTCTCTATATACATTGCTTCCCTTCCCCCTCTCTATATACATTGCTTCCCTTCCCCCTCTCTATATACATTGCTTCCCTTCCCCCTCTCTATATACATTGCTTCCCTTCCCCCTCTCTATATACATTGCTTCCCTTCCCCCTCTCTATATACATTGCTTCCCTTCCCCCTCTCTATATACATTGCTTCCCTTCCCCCTCTCTATATACATTGCTTCCCTTCCCCCTCTCTATATACATTGCTTCCCTTCCCCCTCTCTATATACATTGCTTCCCTTCCCCCTCTCTATATACATTGCTTCCCTTCCCCCTCTCTATATACATTGCTTCCCTTCCCCCTCTCTATATACATTGCTTCCCTTCCCCCTCTCTATATACATTGCTTCCCTTCCCCCTCTCTATATACATTGCTTCCCTTCCCCCTCTCTATATACATTGCTTCCCTTCCCCCTCTCTATATACATTGCTTCCCTTCCCCCTCTCTATATACATTGCTTCCCTTCCCCCTCTCTATATACATTGCTTCCCTTCCCCCTCTCTATATACATTGCTTCCCTTCCCCCTCTCTATATACATTGCTTCCCTTCCCCCTCTCTATATACATTGCTTCCCTTCCCCCTCTCTATATACATTGCTTCCCTTCCCCCTCTCTATATACATTGCTTCCCTTCCCCCTCTCTATATACATTGCTTCCCTTCCCCCTCTCTATATACATTGCTTCCCTTCCCCCTCTCTATATACATTGCTTCCCTTCCCCCTCTCTATATACATTGCTTCCCTTCCCCCTCTCTATATACATTGCTTCCCTTCCCCCTCTCTATATACATTGCTTCCCTTCCCCCTCTCTATATACATTGCTTCCCTTCCCCCTCTCTATATACATTGCTTCCCTTCCCCCTCTCTATATACATTGCCCCCCCTAACACACGGGGGGGGGGGGGGGCAAAAAAAAATCTTGCACCAGGGCCTTTTGTTCCTTATCTCCGCCACTGGATTGTGGGTATAGGGAGCATGGCACCATATACACAATTTTTGTTTCAAACTTTGTACATTGGGCGCACGCAGTTTATTAATCTTATGGGCGCAACGCAGGCTGTGAAGTACAGTCGTTGTTGGAGATTAATATAGCTTATCTGGGGACCTGTGGCACCCTGGCATCTTTTATGTACAATAGTACATATCTGGGGACCTGTGACATGCCCCCAGGTATGCACTATTGTACATAAAAGATGCCCCCATAAAAGATGCCACAGGTGAGCCAGGTATGCACTATTGCACATAAAAGATGCCCCTACAAAAGATTCCACAGGTGACCCAGGTATGCACTATTGCACATGAAATATATGCGCCCACAAAAGATGCCACAGGTGAGCCAGGTATGCACATGAAATATATGCCCCCATAAAAGATGCCACGGGTGAGCCAGGTATGCACTATTGCACATAAAGGATGCCCCCACAAAAGATACCACAGGTGAGCGAGGTATGCACTATTGCACATGAAATATATGCGCCCACAAAAGATGCCACAGGTGACCCAGGTATGCACTATTGCACACAAAAGATGCCACAGGTGACCCAGGTATGCACTATTGCACACAAAAGATGCCACAGGTGGCCCAGGTATGCACTATTGCACACAAAAGATGCCACAGGTGGCCCAGGTATGCACTATTGCACATAAAAGATACCACAGGTGGCCCAGGTATGCACTACTGCACATAACTCCAATGTTATTTAATCACAAAATATATGCATAGTGTATACTCTACAAAACAATTTGCCGCAAGGCGCTAGAGTGTTTGGGTTTGGCTTGAAGAAAAGGTGACAACCCTAGCTTGCATGCATTTGAACAGAAGTGAGACCATGTTCCATAAAGGACTAAAGTGCAGTCTGACAGGGAAGTTTGCGCCCTTGCATATGGGATAGGCAAAATTCTGTCCCACTGAATGAAAAGCAGTTTTCTCATTCACCAGCTGACCTCCGCTACCCCAGCTAATGCGGCATCAGACAGCAGGAGAATCCCTCCTCAACCTTCCCACCCTGCCTCTGACACACACTTCCACTGTATCCAGCCAATAGCAGGCTGAAGAAACTTCTATTGTGGCTGTGCAACACAGGAGGCGAGCGCCGCCCATTCCACTCAGGAGGCCACACCCACTCCAGTGAGGACACACCACCGACAAGCGTTTGCCGCCCACTCTTCCCTCAGCCCATCGCCCTCTCTCCTCCAATCACCGGCAGCGCCCAGGTCCCTCCCTTCCTGTGTTTACACCAATCTGCGGCCGCCCAACGACGCTTGCTAGCCTCCCGGCCCGAGCCTCTTCGTGTATCGGGAGCCACAACAACACGGCTTTACGGGCAGCGTGTCGACCAGTCGCGGGGGGGCAAACCGAAGAGAGAAGCGGAGAAGACCGGAAAGGTGAGTGTGCGCCATTGTCGGAGCTCTAGGCACCCTGGAAGGGAGTCCCAGTAGGCAGAACACGAAGCTTCAGGGGGCAGCTGTGCGAAGTGAAGAAGTTCACAGCAGCCTGCTGGAGCTGTGCTGGCTCCTCCTCTTCATACACATTTCTTCCTTACATTTGCTGCCTGTGTTTATTTACAATGTCGGCTCTGTTTCTGCCTGTGCACGTGCCGTGCTCCTGGTCCCTGTGGAAGTCCCAGCACTTCCCTGGCCTTCCCTCATGCTGCTCTCCCACACTTTGCCTGCTTCTCTTTCCCTCACCGAGGCCTGTCCTTCTTTTAGACGTTCTTCTTTTAGACGTTCTTCGCTGTTTTTTTATTTGTTGTTTACAGTTTTTAAATAACATTTGATAAGTGATATACAAAAGAGCAAAGTCATCAACTTCTCAGCTTGTTTACATAACGCAGCATGCTGTGTTTCTAAGGATCACACAGGTTATATAATGAATGTGACATTGGATGAATGATTGTGAAAACAGAAAAGCCAAAGGGTGGGCGTGTGAGTTTTATGTTAACAGTGGAACAGCTGCTGGTTTAATGTGACAGGGTATGGGTTACCAAAAAAGCGGTATTGGTGCATCCCAAATACTGACACTGTCTGTCTTTCCTTCTGCAGGGTGACTACTTATGGTCCCTGTGTGTGTTGTAAAGTAGTCGCTGCTCCTATTATGAACTACAATCTCATGTTTTAGTTTACTCATTTGTATTGAGATTGTAGTCCATCACAGGAGTGAGCTTGGAGTGGTGGCTACTTTACAACACTCACAGGGAACAAAAGTGGTCACCCTCCAGAAGGACGGACAGTGTCGGCACCAATTCAGAGATGATTTGAGGATCTACAGCCGAGTGATACACAAATAAGATACATTTTCGTTACTAGTTGAGGTACTTGAATGTATTAAGATTTATCTCCTGAGTTTAGTGTCACATTAGGTAAAGCATGCCAAGGTTCTCGGCAAATGTTCTCTATGTTTTGTGCATTTAAATACTACATTGAGATTGATTTACTAAAGGAACAGAGCACTCTGCAAATCAGTTCTTCATTTGAGCTTAGCTGTGTTCATTTGAATCAACCAATCATATTGTAGGGAAAAGCGGATGTTGCCAGGTATTCAAGCTGAACACAGATTCCCCTTATTTACTGCCTTTTACTTTTTAAACTTACACTCTGCTTAGTGAACAGCCCGTACTCCTTTTAGTAGACTAAACCCATTGTGATATATTATAACATATTATAACATTCCCTGGTTTGTATTCTGTGCTGTTCATAAGGCTGGAGAATCTCTGCAAGTGACTGACTTTTTTTCCCTTGGGTATGCTCATTAATAATGCTACCTCAATACCACCAGATGCCTATCATTAAAAAATGAATGAACAAAAGTCAGAGCTGTGTATTTGTATGAATATGTTCACCAGGGATTTTTGGTGTCGGTATGAACAGTCAGACCTTTGAAGGGTTCTTTATTTTTTAATCTGGTCTTCACACTCTTCTGTGTATATCGGTGAAATGCACACGTGGACCGTGATGACCGGCTCCAGCTTATCTCTGCTCTGTTGGCAGAGAACAATAGCGAATGGGCCAAAACCCACACGATTCAGGTTACATTGCACTGATCAGCTGCAGCCATTTTCTCTTTGTATTGATTGTTGCACATCAATGAACCTAGAGCCTGTGTGCAACATTTTGATTCTGTGTAAGCATTACAATTCTGATATTTGCTTCTTTGGACTAGACAAGATACAGTTGTGCTCCAAAGGTTTGCATACCATGGCAGAAATTGTGAAATTTTGGCATTAATATTGAAAATATGACTGATTATGCCAAAAAACTGTCTTTTTTAAAATTTATGGATAGTGATCATATGAAGCCATTTATTATCACCTAAATGACCCTGATCAAAAGTTTACATACACTGGAATGTTTGGCCTTGTTACAGACACACAAGGTGAAATACACGGGCTATAATAGCAATTAAAGGTTATTTCCCACATCTGTGGCTTTTTAAATTGCAATTAGTGTCTGTGTATAAATGGTCAATGAGTTTGTTAGCTCTCACGTGGATGCACTGAGCAGGCTAGATACTGATCCATAGGGAGCAGAATACAACTGGCAAAAGACCTGTGTAACAAGGTAATGGAACTTTATAAAGATGGAAAAGGATATAAAAAGATATCCAAAGCCTTGAAAATGCCAGTCAGTACTGTTCAGTCACTTATTAAGAAGTGGGAAATTCAGGGATCTCTTGATACTAAGTCAAGGTCAGGTAGACCAAGAAAGATTTCAGCCACAACTGCCAGATGAATTGTCCAGGATACAAAGAAAATCCCACAGGTAACCTCAGGAGAAATACAGGATGCTCTGGAAAAAGGTGGTGTAGTTGTTCCAAGGAGCACATTATGACAATACTTGAACAAAAATTAACTGCATGGTGTAGTTGCCGTAAAGAAGCCTTTACTGCGCCAACACAAAAAAGTCTGGTAATAATATGCCCAATAACACCTTGACACACCTCACAGCTTCTGGCACACTGTAATTTGGAGTGATGAGACCAAAATAGAGCTTTATGGTCAGAAACCGTAAGCGATATGTTTGGAGAGGGGTCAACAAGGCCTATACTGACAAGGATTACATCCCCACTGTGAAGCATGGTGGTGGCTCATTGATGTTTTAGGGGTGTGTGCGTTCTAAGGGCACAGGGAATCTTGTGAAAATTGATGGCGAGGTGAATGCAGCATGTTAGCAGAAAATACTGGCAGACAATTTGCATTCTTCAGCACAAAAGCTGCACATGGAGCTCTTGGACTTTCCAGCACGACAATGACCCTAAGCACAAGGCCAAGTTGACCCTCCAGTGGTTACAGCAGAAAAAGGTGAAGGTTCAGGAGTGGCCATCACAGTCTCCTGACCTTTAATATCATCGAGCCATTCTGGGGAGATCTCAAACGTGCGGTTCATGCAAGATGACCAAAAACTTTGCATGACCTAGAGGCATTTTGCCAAGACGAATGGGCTGCCACATCACCGGCAAGAATTCGGGGCCTCATAGACAACTATTACAAAACTGCACGCTGTCAATGATGCTAAAGAGGGCAATACACAGTATGAAGAGCTAAGTGTGTGCAGACTTTTGAACGGGGGTCATTTCATTTTTTGTATTTGTTGCCATGTTTTGTTTTAGGATTGTGCCATTCTGTTATGACCCAATATGAATTCCACAAGAGATAAAGGAAAAGTGTTTTGCTGCTCACTCATGTTTTCTTTAAAAATCTATATATGACATTCTCCAGTGGTATACAATCTTTTGAGCACAACTGTATGCCACCAGGAGACATCTTAAAACCATGTACATGAAGCATAGAGAATCTCGTGTATTAAAGGGCACCTTTACACTGTGAACATTGGAATGTGCAAGCATGATATAACTGACTCTGGGCAAGACTTACTGCTGGGTCGAATGTAAGCATCAAATCTTGAGCAAGCACTTGTGTTTACGTTTATGGGGGAGAGTAAAGCTAGCCATATATAACTAGATTTCTCTAGTTCATGCTTGTGGGCTGAACGTGAGAAGTCATTTGATTCACCCATCCACACTAAGCAGTGTAGATGGAGCAATCCCCACCTGGTAGCTATTGTTTTCAAACAGCTGGCACCCACAGCTGTCTGAATAACAGTAACTGCAGCTAATTTTAATGTTTTCCACCCAGCTCCTTCGATTTTGTAATTAAACTTTGTCAAGTCTGGTTGTGCTGACAGGACTACCCATAGCTTGAATTCAGCAGGACTCATTCGAAATTTTAACCATGTATGGCATAAGGCACATCATATAGTTCCATTAGTAGCCTATCTCAGGGGGAACCTGTCTGGTTGATCTTTCTCACTTAGTGTAGTTTTACGTTTGCTGTCAAATTTGAAAAAAAAACTCCTCTATGCCTTTCTATTTACACATCATACCCCAAAATAATTTTTACAAATATTTTCTTTTACGTTTTGGAGGTTTCTTTGGTAAACGGCTTTGTCCCAATTTTAGGCTACTCTGAGCAGTTTGAAAGTGAATGTAGAGGGTCAGAATGAGGGACAGACTGAGCTTCCTCATTTACATACAATGCTGCTAAGTCTTTAACTAGGGCTGCAGCTAACGATTATTTTCATAATCGATTAGTTAGCCGATTATTAAGTTCGATTAATCGATTAATCGGATTTAAAAAAAAAGGGCTCCAGTGATGGACTACTAGTTTCTATTGAGATTGTAGTCCATCACGGGAGCAAGCTTGGCGCGGTGGAAGTAAAAAAAGAGTGTAGTGTGCAAAGGGCGTGCAGCGGCAAGCTGGAAATTTGCATTTTAGCCGATGAATCGACGATGGAAAACGTTGACAACGTTTTCCATCGTCGATTTTAATCGAATAACTGTTGCAGCTCTATCTTTAACCCCTTCTTAGGGAAGACAGTGTTCATACCTTGTTTACAAACGATGATGAGAGCTGCCAGCACAGTACACACAGGATAATTATGGTAAACATAACGTTACTACTTAACATCAAATGGGGGGAAGCCAGTTAGGATTTTTAGGCAAGCATAAAGCACTTACAAAATGTAAGCGGCTTTTTAAATTTTTTTTTTTAAAGTTATGCAAATGTAAGGTGTTTGTGTGTACCATTTGCCTCTTACTTTTCAACGCTGGGTGGTTTCCCCTATGTGGAAAAATTACTGAATGGGACACGTATGGCAAAAACAAGTTGACAGGTCTTAATTCTTCCTCATTATATCCAAAAACAATAAACTGAGTTAATGTAGTTCCTCTTTTGCATCCGAATTGGTATAACCTCTACTTATATATTTGTTGTTTGTTCCCATTCACATTGCATAATATAAAAAAAAGTCTTAGCTGTCCCCATACTGTGCAATGTTAGGTAGGGATTTGGGGAGTAATTATCCTGATTGATTATATACTTAATTTCTTT